ACTTCGCAGACTCTATGTCCCGCAGCATTTTAACAGCTTTTGTAGCAGTTTGATAGTAGTTCCTACGTCTGTGCATTTGACCCTCAGTGACTTCACACTTCTTACTTATCCCCACCTCCCACAGACCAGCCCGAAAGTGCTACTTCCTCCGCAAATACAAGTTCCGGCACAGGTCCCTCGTTTGCGCCCCACTCCTCACGTTTGGCGGCCTTTGCGTCAGACGAAGAGGACAGTGCTGACTCCTCTACGGATACCGATGCTGACGTTAGTACCCTAGGCGGTGCCTTCAATGGAGAAGGAGCGCGCACCCCCTTCACGAATACCTCAGATGGCTCTAATGCTGCCTCTTCGATCTCCGCCGGATCCCCAGAAGCTCGGGATGAACAAAACGACTCGTGCGTAACCTGTTTCAGTCTCATTAGTCTGCTCTCTTTCCCATAGCTGCGATGTTGTTGCGTTGGAGAAAAGTTAAAGAGGCAGGCACTATAAGCTTTGTTTAGATTGAATTTGGCCGACAAACCAGCAAAAATGAAGTCGTACCATCTACGAAAACTAAGGAGACGAATGGTCCTGTCTAACTTCGTGTCCGTTGTTAATCAGCCATTCTTGGATCCCAGACGTGAAGGATCGGAGGCTTGGGCCAAGATCCGGTTTGCTACTTGTACTTGTAGAACCGAGAGCGCGCGGCTGCTCTTCGGCCGTATTGTCATTGGAGATTGAAGAGATATTAGGGTCCACGCTGCTCAATTCTTCCTCACTTCATGTGCTGACCTAAAGTCGCTCTTCGCGGTCTGTGGTAATCCTTACTTGGTAACCTACTATGTCCGAGAAATGTTATTAGGGAAGATGGGAGAGGCATTGAGGGTCAGGTTGACATTTTCACTGTCGTCGGACAGCGGCCATACCTCGATTTTAGATTTGAACCGGACGAAATGTTTCCTGGTCCACGTTGCTCCGATGGTAAGCCAGAGTAGGCGTAGGTGCAGGCGCAGTGACTGACAATTTCCAAACTGCTCGTATGTGCTTACCACACTCTCAACCCATCTCACTCCGCAATATTGGTGGTTTGGATCTCACCTACGGG